GGGAATTCAAGGAAAGGATATTAAAAAGCCTCCAATTTCCATCCCAGCTCGGAGCAAGAAATGCCGGATATGAGAAATTTTTGGGTTTTTTTTTCTGGGAAATGGGAATGTGTTTTCCGCTTGGTTATCCCCAAATATTTCCTCGGATGGTTCCATGCCCCGGGAGATTCATGGTCTCAATAAACTCAAGAATCACGGAGAGGAATTGGAGACTGGAAAATGGATTTGAGGATCTTGGAAGTCTTTTTCGACCTTAAGAATTCCATGGAAAACTCAGACGGATGGGTGGGATGAGACCCGGCACTGTTGGAGCATCCCCAGTGCGGGAGAAGGGGAAAGGAAGTTGAAGCTCAAAGGAATTTTAGAGTAGGAAAATCTCCCATGGAGGGGAAATCAAATCTTTGGATAAATTTGGGAATGCTGGGAGATCTTATCACAGAATTCCAGCAATGCCTCATCCCTGGAAGTGTCCAAGGCCAGGTTTGGAGCAACCCAAAGCGTTGGAAGGGACCTCAAAGACCACGGAATTCCGACCCCTTTGCCAGGGACGCTCAAATTTGGTATTTTAGAGATTTGAGGCATCTTTTGTTCCACAAATCTGCTTTTTTGGGATCTTTTGGAGTCAGGAATGGCTGCTGCTTGTAAGGGAGGAAGTTTCTGATCCCAGAAAGCTGCGGCGGGCACATTCCAGAGGTTGGATTTTGAGAGAGTTCCCCTTGGATATTCCAGCTCAGCCACACTTCATCCAGGAAGAACTAAATGCTGTGTTTTATCTCCGATATCCCGGCGCCTTCGGAACCGGGACGTGCTAAAAAAAGTGGGAATCCTGAGGAATAACATGGGCACAATTTCCCAGCAGATGGGATTTGGGTGAAGACCCCTCGCATCCCAATATTCCCGCGTTTTGGTCCAAGGAAAATGGTCAAAAATCCATTTCTTTGTCCATCAAGCTTCCACGTGGAATTCCTCCTTGGAGAAGCAGCAACAGAGCTGAGTTTTCCATGGAAAAGGCTTCTTTTTCCCTGCCTGACACCTTCTCCAAGGATTTCAAGCCAATAACCCCAGACACTTCCCGACGGTGCGGAAAATCCCATCGACCCGACGCAAAATCCGGCCGACGTTCCCGCTCCGAGATTTCACGGCTGTCAAGTCACGCTCCGGAGAAATGCCGCCACCATTTTAAGACAAGCGTGGAAAATTCCAGGGAAATCCCGCTGGGAAGGCTTTGCTGGCGACCAGGACAAATCTGCTGTTGAGATCCCAGGGTTGATTCCCAAACCGGATCCGGTCGCTAATTAGGACAAATCCCACCTCACCGTGGAAGCGTGAGGTGATTCCGGTGGGATACAAGCGCTTGGAAACGGCAAATTCCCTGTGGATTCCAAGGGCTGACGCATCCCTGACTCGCACGGGTGGGATGGAACATCCCCATGGATGTGAGGAATGGATTGGGAGAGGCCTCCAGCATCTCCAGCCAAACCTGGAGGTGCTCTGGCTCCTAAATCCTAAATTTTAAGGGAAGTCCTGGGTGTGAATTCCAATAAAAACTTTCCCACTTTTCCCAAATTCCCTTTTCCAACCAGATGAGCTGAGCTTAGCTCAGAAACATTTAAATAAGATTCCATGGGATGAAACCTGGACTGGGAGGTTCCACCAGGAAACCTCCAGAGCTCCTTCCCAGCTGCGGATCTTCTCCGAGAAACGCAACCGAGATCTGGGAATCACGGAATCTCATGGAATCATGGAACAGCTGGGGCTGGAATTCCACAGGGTCACCTTCCACTATCCCAGGCTGCTCCAAGCTCTGTCCAACCTGGCCTTGGACTCTTCCAGGGATGGGGAAAATGCAGGAATGAGGTTTTTTTTCCCAGCCAGGATATGAGGATCAAGAGTGGGATGCGGCCATGGTTTGGCTGAGCCGATGAGGACTCATCCCTGTCACCTCCAGGGATGCAGGTGGGAATTCCAGTCAGCAGGAATTTTTTGCTCCTTCTGGTGGCATTTAATTTTTAAAAATTTTTAATGAATTTTTAAAGCTGTAAAGACCTGGGATCTGCTCAGTCCCAGTCTCTGGAAAGGCCAAGACCTGGAATTCCTGGAGATTCGAGGACACACAACCACCCATTGGTCAAAACCAGCCCAGGGCTGAATTCCTTTTCTTTTCCAGGAGATTTCCAAGGGTTAAACATTTTTATTTCAGAATCTGACCCTCCTCCAAGCTGATCCAGCAGATTTCCATCCCATAATGGGAATAGGGAATTATGGGTGAGGAAACCAAGGAATCGGTGACCTGGAGTGTCCGTGCTGGGTCTGATGTGGGAATCAGATCCCATTTGGGAATCCTCCCAGAGAGCTGCTGATTCCACCTTGGGAATGATCCTTTCCCCAGGGGGTGAGGAAACCAAGGAATCGGTGACCTGGAGTGTCCGTGCTGGGTCTGATGTGGGAATCGGATCCCATTTGGGAATAGTCCCAGAGAGCTGCTGATCCCACCTCAGGAATGATCCTTTCCCCAGGAAACTCCTGATCCCACTTTGGGAATGATCCTTTCCTCAGGGAATTCCTGATTCCACCTCAGGAATGATCCTTTCCCCAGGAAACTCCTGATCCCACTTTGGGAATGATCCTTTCCTCAGGAAATTACTGATCCCACTTTGGGAATGATCCTTTCTCCAGGAAACTCCTGATTCCACCACAGGAATGATCCTTTCCCTAGGAAACTCCTGATCCCACTCTGGGAATGATCCTTTCCCCAGGAAACTCCTGATCCCACCTCAGGAATGATCCTTTCCTCGGGAAACTCCTGATTCCACCTCAGGAATGATCCTTTCCTGCTGATCCCACCCCTGTTCTTGCAACAAATCCCAGGGAATTTAAAATCCATCCCTGGATCCTTGTTAACCCCTCACGCCGCTTTGGGAATGGGACCCTGCTCCATCCTCGGGAAACTCCTGATTCCACCTCAGGAATGATCCTTTCCTGCTGATCCCACCCCTGTTCTTGCAACAAATCCCAGGGAATTTAAAATCCATCCCCCGATCCTTGTTAACCCCTTTGGGAATGGGACCCTGCTCCACCAACATCTCCTGGGCTCATTTCCCACCAGGAAAGGGGGGAATTCTGCCCTTCCGACCTGCTCAGGTGAGATCCCACCTGGAATTCTGCACCCAGCTCCAGGATCCAACATCCGGAGGATGTGGAGATGTTGGATCAATTCCAAAGGAGGCCCTGGAGATGCTCCAAGGGCTGGAGCCCCTCTGCTCTGGAGCCAGGCTGGGAGAGCTGGGAATGTCCTGGAGAAGGGAAGGATCCAGGAAAATCTCAGGGCCCCTTCCAGTGCCTGAAGGAGCTCCAGGAGAGCTGGAGAGGGATTTGGGAAAAAGGATGGAGGGACAGGACACAGGGAATGGCTTCCCACTGCCAGAGGGCAGCGTTAGGTGGGATTTGGGAAGGAATTCCTGGTCGGGAGGGTGGTGAGGGGCTGGGATGGAATTCCCACAAAATCTGTGGCTGCTCCTGGACCCCTGGAAATGTCCCAGGCTGGGTTGGATGGGGCTTGGAGCGCTCTGGGATAGTGGAAGGTGTCCCTGCCCATGGAAAAGGCTGAAATTCCGTGATCTTTCAGGCCTCTTCCAACCCAAACCATTCCACTATTCTGTAATTCCACGACTCCATGATTCCACATCCACCAGCAGTGAAAGACCCCAAACCCAAACTCCCCCACCAAAATCCCCCTGCCCCAAGAGGACCCCCCATTCCCAGGCTCTGAGATTCCATCAGAGCCTCTCCCAGGACCTCGGGAAGGTGGAACCTCCCCCGAGGTGCGGAGCCGAGGCTGCCTCTGATGTCCCACATGAAAGCACTTGCCAAGCCGGGAATTCCTGTTCCCATCCAGCCGCAGTTTCTGGCAGCAGGAGCTGGGAACGGAAATTCCACCTCGGATTGGTCTCCTCAACCTGGCTGGCTCCTTAACGTGGTCAAAAGCATCAATTAAGAGAAGACAAATACATTAATTAATGACCCGCCTCAGGTCTCCCAGAAAAGCTGTGGCTGCTCCGTCCCTGGAATTGTCCCAAGTCGGGTTGGGATGGTGGGAGGTGTAGGAGGTGGAAAAAGATGGATTTTAAGGCTCATTTCCAACCCAAACCATTCCATGATTCTGTGATTTGCAGCTTTTAATCCATAAAAGATGAAACAATGGAGAGGTGACACGAACTTCTCTGAATGCTGAGTCCCTTCTCCTTCCCAAGGGAAATTATTCCTGCCAGGAGCTCCCCAGACCTGTGGGACAAGCCCTGCTTGGACCGTGAATCATCCCAACTCCTCAAGGAGATCTTATCCAGGGAAAGCATTTAAAACCACGCCGGGCTCTAAACCCGAATTTCCAATCCTCAAAACGAATTTCAAAAGGATGGGAAATTATTCCTTTAGGGAATCTTCCCGCAGGGAACACCTAAAATATCCCTAAGGTGGAGAAACAGCTTTTCCTGATGTTTTTCCCTTGTTTTATGGAGGATCCAACTCGGTAGAGACCCACCAAGGCTCGAACAGGAGGAATCATCCACAAAACATCTTTACCCAAGATCTGCAGCAACCTCCAACCCTTGGAGACCACCAGGATTGGGAATTCCCGATTTTCCACCCTCCCATCCCACCTTTACCTTTCCGTTTCCTGGAGACCCACCAAGGCTCGAACAGGAGGAACCATCCACAAAACATCTTTACCCAAGACCTGCAGCAACCTCCAACCCTTGGAGACCACCAGGATTGGGAAGACCTGCAGCAACCTCCAACCCTTGGAGACCACCAGGATTGGGAATTCCCGATTTTCTGCCCCCCAATCCCACCTTTACCTTTCCATTTCCTGGAGACCCACCAAGGCTCGAGCAGGAGGAACCACCCACAAAACATCTTTACCCAAGACCTGCAGCAACCTCCAACCCTTGGAGACCACCAGGATTGGGAATTCCCGATTTTCTGCCCCCCAATCCCACCTTTACCTTTCCGTTTCCTCCTTCACCACGGAATACTGGCTGGACTGGCGGCTCGAGCGCTGCTCCTGCACCTTCTCGTTGCCCTCCAGCTCCTGCTCCAAGGACGAGCTGGTGCTCCCCTCCCTGCTGACATTGCTGCTCCTGCCGGGGCTGTTTTCCGTGGAAGCCCGCGGCGACTCCGTGTTCTGCTTCAGCGTCTGCAGCTTGGCCAGCGGGATGATGTCGCAGTTCTGGGGACGGTGCCACACCGTCCTCTGCGTGGTGGCATTGTAGTAGTAGAAGCGGGAGGTGTTGGGGTCGAAGAGCTCCCACCACTGGTTCTCATTGGTGCGTTTGATCCGCACCCCGGCGGGCGGGTCCCACACGCACTCCCCCGTGATGAGGTTGGCGTACATGCGCTCCCGGGTCCGAGGCTCGATGATTTCCACCCATTCCAGCCTGGGAAAGGACAAGGAGAGAAGGGAAATGTCAACCCAACCATCTCAGAAGGTCGCCCAAGCTACCCCATCATTTTGTGATTTGATGCGAGCGCAGGATGGAGAAAAGTGATTTCTCAACTCTGCCTTCCATCCCCATTGAGTCTCCCGTGTCCAAGACTCGATGATTCCCCCCCATTCCAGCATGGAGAAGAACAGGAAGAGAGGGAAAATTCAACCAAGGTCCCTCACAACCCCAACCACCCCATGATTTTGTGATTTGACGTGAGCGCGGGATGGAGAAAAGGGATTTCTCAACTCTGCCTTCCACCCCCGCCGAGTCTCCCGTGTCCAAAACTCAATGATTCCCACCCATTCCAGCCTGGAAAAGAACAGGAAGAGAGGGGAAGCATCAACCAAGGTCCCTCCCAACCACAACCACCCCATGATTTTGTGATTTGACGTGAGCGCGGGATGGAGAAAAGGGATTTCTCAACTCTGTCTTCCATCCCCATTGAGTCCCCCATGTCCAAGACTCGATGATTCCCACCCATTCCAGCCTGGAAAAGAACAAGGAAAGGGTGAAAATTCAACCCCAACCACCCGATGATCGAGCGTGGGATAGAGAAGAGTGACTTCTCAACTCTGTCTTCCATCCCCATCGAGTCCCCCATGTCCAAGACTCGATGATTCCCACCCATTCCAGCCTGGAAAAGAACAGGAAGAGAGGGGAAGCATCAACCAAGGTCCCTCCCAACCCCATCCACCCCATGATTCCATGATTTGACGTGAGCACGGGATGGAGAAGAGCAACTTCTCAACACTTCCTTCCACCCCCATATTATGTCCCGTGTCCAAGAATCGATGATTCCCACCCATTCCTGAGAAAAGCCTGGAAAAGAACAGGGAGAGAGGGAAAATCCAACCAAGGTCCCTCCCAACCCCAACCACCTGATGATTTTGTATTTTGATGCGAGCACAGGATGGAGAAGAGCAACTTCTCAACTTTTCCTTCTACACCCATATTATGTCCCGTGTCCAAGACTCGATGATTCCCACCCATTCCAGCATGGAGAAGAACAGGAAGAGAGGGAAAATTCAACCAAGGTCCCTCCCAACCACAACCACCCCATGATTTTGTGATTTGACGTGAGCGCGGGATGGAGAAGAGCGACTTCTCAACTCTGCCTTCCACCCCCATCAAGTCTCCCGTGTCCAAGACTCGATGATTCCCACCCATTCCAGCATGGAAAAGAACAGGGAGAGAGGGAAAATTCAACCAAGGTCCCTCCCAACCCCACCCATCCGATGGTTCCATGACTCGGTGCTCACAGGATGGAGAAGAGCAATTTGACAAATTCTCTTTCCACCCCTATGAAGTCTCCCATGTCCAAGGCTTGATGATTCCCACCCATTCCAGCCTGGAAAAACAACAGGAAAGAGGGGAAATTCAACCAAGATCCCTTCCAACCCAACCATCCAATGGTTCCGTGATCAACGCTTGCAGCGAGCGCGGGATGAAGAGCGACCTCACAACTCCTTCTTCCACCCCCATCGAGTCCCGCAGAATTATTTACACAAAACAGAGAATTTTTCCAAAGGGTTTCCAACCAATCCCTGATTTTCAGGTCCGAGGGAATCCCAGCAAGTCTGCAAAACACACGCCGGGCTTGGAGCACCCCAATATCCACCGGGATCATGGCATCCACCCCAAACACTTGAAGGTCCTGAGCTGGGGATCAAAGCACATTCCATGAGGGAATGGGAAGGACTGGAATCACCAACCTGGAGATGAACACCACCAAACCCGGCCGCATTTCCCACAAAAACTCCAAAATTTGTGGATTTGACCTCCCCAGGTCCAGCTGGAGCCACGCAGCTCCCCGGCACTCCGAAGATCCCAAAGCTCCTTCCCTCTGTCCCGATTTCGACACCGGGAAAAGGCGTCGGCTCCATGGGTTCCACCTCCGGCACCATCCCAAAACCACCGGCCCCAACACAGCTGGGCGGGGTCACAACCGCGGGCGGCACCAACACCGAAACCTGGTGGTGGCGGGGATGGAGGTGGTGAGGGCTGAACAGGCCCAGCGCGTCCTGGGCTCCTTGGGAAGGGATGGAATCATGGAGAATCATGGAAAACGTGGGATGGGATGGGATGGGATGGGATGGGATGGGATGGGATGGGATGGGATGGGATGGGATGGGATGGGATGGTCCCATGGGCAAGGGGCTCCTTCCCTCCTCCCAGGTTGCTCCAAGCCCTATCCAGCCTGGCCTTGGATAATTCCAGGGATCCAGGGACAGCCACAGATTCTCTGGGAATTCCATCCCAGCCCCTCACCACCCTCCCAACCAGGAATTCCTTCCCAAATCCCATCTATCCCTGCCCTCTGGCAGTGCGAAGCCATTCCCTGTGTCCTGTCCCTCCATCCCTTGTCCCAAGTCCCTCTCCAGCTCCTGGAGCTCCTTCAGGCACTGGAAGGGGCTCTGAGGTTTCCCTGGATCCTTCCCTTTTCCAGGCTGGACATTCCCAGCTCTCTCAGCCTGGCTCCAGCCCTTGGAGCATCTCCGTGGCCTCCTCTGGATCTGCTCCAGCAATTCCAGATGTTGGATCCTGGAGCTGGGTGCAGAATTCCAGGTGGGATCTCACCTGAGCGGGGCAGAGGGGCAGAATTCCCCTTTTCCTGCTGCCCACGCTATGGGATGAGCCCAAAACATCGGGAATTCCCAGGATCAGAGCACATGGATGCGTCCTGTGGGGCTTCTCACCCACCAACACCCCCAAATCCCTCCTCCCCAGGGCTGCTCTCCATCCTTTCCCCCATCCGTGTTTTCGTGGAATTCCCCTGACCCCCCCTCACTCAGGAGCACAACAAAAGGGATTTTTGGGATCATCCAGCAGCAAATGGAGCTTAGAAATTCCAAAGAGGATTAAGAGAAGTTGTAATCCCAAAAAACCGAGAATTCCACCAATTTTTCCGGTTGCCCCAAACGCTGCACTTGTCACCTCTGGATAATCCAGAGGGTACCTGAGACGTTCGGGGATCCGTGTCTTAATTAAAATTCCTCTTTCATCCAGCAGCAAATGGAGCTTAGAAATTCCAAAGAGGATTAAGAGAAGTTGTAATCCCAAAAAAACGAGAATTCCACCGATTTTTCCGGTTGCCCCAAACGCTGCACTTGTCACCTCTGGATAATCCAGAGGGTACCTGAGACGTTTGGGGATCTGTGTCTTTATTCAAATTCCTCTTTTGTGTGGAAAAAAAGGAATTGAATTAAATTATGTGGGATTTATCCTTGTCTGCATTTCCAAGGTTTTTAAGGAATGTCTAGAAATAGATGAGGAGGAATAAAAAGCTAAGCGAGGCTTATCAAGGAAGGTGCCACTTAAACCTGACACATCCAGGGAGTCAGACAATGATGGATCACGTGGATCGCATCCCGACGCCAGAATTCCACCAATTTTTCCGGTTGCCCCAAACGCTGCACTTGTCACCTCTGGATAATCCAGAGGGTACCTGAGACGTTCGGGGATCCGTGTCTTAATTAAAATTCCTCTTTTGTGTGGGTTTTTATATTAAAAAAAAAAAGGAATTGAATTAAATTATGAGGGATTTATCCTCGTCTGCATTTCCAAGGCTTTTAAGGAACGTCTAGAAATAGATGAGGAGGAATAAAAAGCTAAGCGAGGCTTATCAAGGAAGGTGCCACTTAAACCTGACACATCCAGGGAGTCAGACAATGATGGATCACGTGGATCGCATCCCGACGCCTTTTCCTGGGAATGAACCCCTGGAGGCTCTTCAGAAACGCCCAAATTGCAAGAAAAAAAAATCCCTGGAGGGGTTCCCAGGTGTCAGCCTGGCCCCGAGCCCGCAGCTGGTCCAGCTCATTTTCCAACGGGATTTAAAAACCTCTGGATGGACAAAAAGAGTGGGATTTTCAGGGTGTGGGATTCCAGCTCGGATCAAACCCCCCCAAAGGAGGAAAACGTGTCCAGCTCCTCTTGGAAATGAGAGGAAAATCCATAATTAAACTTTTCCTTGCAGAACAGAGACTAAAAACAGTCAGAGGGGAGTCGGTCCTAAATCGTGGCTCGTCTCATTCCGCAAAACTCGGATCCGATCCGGCACGGAACCGAAACTGGAAGCCACTTCCGGCTTTGGAGAACTGGGATTGGACAAAGAACCGGCCAAGGTGGCCAATGGCACCTGGTCTGTCCCAATCCAAGGGAAGATTTGGGATTCCCAAAGGATATTGAGGCCAGGGAAGGAAAAGGATGATCCTGAAGGTCCCTTCCGACCTAAAGCATTCCATGTTTTTCTGAGGAGCAATTGGAATTCCTGATTCCCAGCAAGGTTTTGGAGACCTTGGATGCAGCTCCAGAGCACTTGGGGGGCTCTGCTCCCCAAATTTCCCACTCCCAGGTGATCCCTTTGGAATCACAAACCAAAATATCCAAGATTTCCCAACGTGTCCAAGAACCCAAATCCCCCCATCAGTGCAAAATTCTGAGGAAAGGACAATTCCCATCTTATTTCCTAATTTTCCATCTTGTTTCTCATCTTCTTTCCCTGCTTAAAACTAATTAAAACCTCCTGCAAAACTTCATAAAAATTTAAATTAATAATGGAATTATTAAATGGGTTGGGGTGAAAGGAGCTTTTAAAGCTCATCTGTTCAAATCCCTGCCTGTTATTTTATTTATTATTGATTAATTAATTAATGTTCATTATTGCACCATTTATTTTATTCATTATCCCCATTATTTTATTTATTATCGACTTCATTAATATTCCTTTAATTATTACGCCCATTATTTTATTTATTACTTATTTTTCAGGAATATTTGACTTAAAATATGGGGAAAAACCCCACAATTCCTTGATGCTAGACCTTGGAAAACCTGTATCAGAGTTTTTAAATGGGGAAAAAATCATGGAATGAGGGCTGGGACTGGGGTGGATCCTCAACTACTCCATGGAAAACGGGAAAACTGCTCCGGTGGAATCGCTGTGGTCC